GATTCTGGAAAAATCGTCATAAAACTAATAGTTTTTACAATATTTAGAACCATTTGTCCATAAAATGTTACAAATATTCTAATTTTACTAGATATACTTTTCCAAATTTTGACAAACATTGCCATTCTCAAAGCCAATTCTAACAAGACGCCATCTTGACACACAAAACAGATAGGAATATTAACCATAATAACATCTTATCAAGACATGTTAAGGAATACGATTTAACATGGCGTTAAAAATGATTTTCCAAATCTATCTGTTTAAACAGCTCCTGATATATCAACAATAACATATTTTAACGTCTGAACAACTCATATTGAGGGTAGCGTGACGTAATGGTTAGTGCTTTGGACTCATAGTCAAAAGCTTGTGGATCCTAGATGTGCCCACGCCATATGGCTGTTTCCTTGCGAAGACACTTTGCACCAATTGGTTAGTTTACCTAGCTGTGGGTTAACTTTCGATGGACTGGCATCTCATTCAGAAGGACTGTGTCGCCATTCTCATCTACTTGTGGCACAGAAAACCGCAATTAAGCACCGTAGCAAAAAGGACTAACTTATTTACAACTATTGTTTTAATAAAAATATTTAAATTTTTAGGCAACTCCTGGTGCAATAATAGCGTGATTTAATTTCTCGAGAGCTCCTGATACCATAATAATATGATTTAGTGTTTAAAGAACTCCTGATGTAATGATAAAACATTTGAATGTGTAGAAACACTCCTGATTTAATAATAACACGTTAGCGTGTTTCAGCTTGCTCCTTCATTGGGAAACACAAAACTTGATACTTCCACTATGAGGATATGAAGCTCTGAAATTGGTTTCTTTAAGAAAATTAACACTACCTTTAGAGTATGTTTTTACTGTGGTGGAACGAAGAAGTAATTACTTTTATGACCAGGCTTTTAATCGTTCCTAAAACCACTAAATTAAAGCATGAACAAAATTTTGATACTCTAAATAAAATAGAAAAAGAATTATGGTGAAAATCAAATCGGCTAATAACACCTGCAATAACATCATACTCAAAGCAAACTATTTTATGATCTACAGCATTGATATAATAGTATTAAACATTTATAAGCAGAAGACAGCTTTAAGTTATGGAAGCTCAAGCTATTGTAACTTCTTCCATAACACGCAGTTGAAAACGTGCGAGTTCTGCGACAAACGCCTGTAATCTCTTGAAAGACTGATTGGATTCTGTAAGGAGACATGGCTTGCTTTGATAAGGAGAAGGTAAATATACTTTCTTTGACTATAATGCACGATACTCGCTTTTCTTTGTATCACCCAATCGAAGTCTACTCACCTCCGGTGACGCTGCATGTCAGCGTCAAAGATTGTCCTTCATTGAACGGTCCAACCAAACCCTTCAGCTGTTTCCCGTTTTCATCCACGATAATTGGTTCTTTGGGAGGAACTGTGGTAATGAAATGTTCTCTCTGGATGAATAAAATTGTTATCAATTTATACTACATTACATGTATAAAGTCTAAATGGCTACGCATTATAGAGAAGGAGATGTGAAGAAACAAATAATAGAAATCTATAATCTATTTTATAATATTCTTCTTTTATTTTCATTACGTTGAAACATAATCTGATAGCTTATAATGTAGTGATTTCTTTAAGAAAATAAACATTCGTGTTATTGAAAGACAATCTGACAGATTATAATGTAGCGCTTTCTTCAGGAAAAACATTCGTTCTGCTGAAACAAAATTTGACACAATGCTTTCCATGAAAAAAAACAAATTCGTTCTATTGAGACACAGTCTGATAAGTTATATTCTATGGTTTAGTTAATAATGAAGTAAAATAAAACAGCTTGTTGTTATAGCGTTGAATTTCAGTACTTTGTATTATTTAAAATCAATAGTACGTAATGTGTTTATATAATTAACATTTCATAGAAAAAGTTTCGTACAATTAGATTATTATTAATAAACATGTTAAACTTAATATCTTTGTGGAATAATTTACCTTTAGTTAATAATAATTACACACAAGAATGTAGTTATAATGCTGTTTTTATACCTTAGTATTCTCTTGTTACTCTTTCATGTCTATGTTACTCTTCTCAAAGTTAGATAGGGTATTAATGATACGTAAGTCTAGTTTAGAAATATTAGAAGGGAAAACTGTGATACGAAAATAAACTACTTTATAAGTGTATTAACGTGTGTAAATATTATTTATAAAGGTCAAGTATTCCCTACAGGAATTAAGTTTCACTTGTTTCGTTAATAAAAAATGGATGCATGATTGTTCATATAAAGAGGTTATTGTTGCAGTTATTCGTTCTTTTAGCGCAAAACTACACACTGTGCCATGTGCGCCCTTTCCACCGCAAGAAATGAACTCCAGATTTTAGCATTGTGAGTCCGGAAACTAGCCGCTGGCCCACTGGGAGACTCGTTTGATTAAAGAGACTTACTTCTAAGCTGGTGTGTGAAATTATGTAATTCTTTTCATACAAGAAAATACTTAAAACAAAATTAACATTTACGGACGCAATTATTCACAAGCGCCTTCAATAGAAATTGCAGACAATATTTTCAACAGATAATTGATATTAACATTAACAGGGCATAATTTTTCTATTTGTATATTTGATTAACGATTATAAATATTTGCACTTCATTTAGGTTTTATGTGTGTGTTTTTTTAAATACAAGCTTAAGAAATATATAATTTATATTAATATGTTCCAGAACATATTTAAACACGAAAAATTACAACTTGCTCTATGAACTTCATTTAATTTTATTTCAATACTAGTTCAAGGAATTTTGTTTGTAAATGTAGTTTATAGGAGAGAAACTATGAATCCCATTTTAATCAGTAAAATCTGTATAAATGTTCTATTAAGAGTTATGACAAATTACTAAAGTTTAATTTTGAGTAAAAGCAAAGTAATACCTATAACTTTCAACGTGATGACCGTGTTAACAGTTCGGGCCTTGTGGAAGTCTACCCTTCCTCTGTACTCCCCTGCGTCATCCTC